GAAGATGGGGATAGAACTATAGAAAAAGAGGAAAAGAAGGGGAGGAGGAAGGAGAAGAGAGGCCTGCCCCTCAACAGGGACCGCCCCTCTCCATAGAGATCTATGGGGACATTTCCCTCAGAATAAGCCACATTCACACACGCACACCCCTTTCTGCACCGCAGTATTTATAGGGTTCAGGCTGTACAACCCTTGCATCCCAGTACTTTGAGGAAAGGCTCTGGTAGGACGGCCTCTTGATCTCTCCCTCCATCCCTTTCCCTTTGGCGCATCTCTCTTCCTCTTGGTCTTTCCCCATCCTCCTCTCCTTCTCCTCTGCTTCTCAGTCTATTCCATTCTTCTTCATCATCATCATCTTCTTCTTCCCTCTTTCCTTTTTCTTTTTCTATATGTCTGTCCCTGTCATTCCCTTCCTTCCTCCTCCCCTCCTTCTTCCCATCCATCCATATATCATCTGTCTGTCCATCCATCCTTATCTTCTTCTATTCTTTTTCTCTCTTGTTCTTCTCCTTCTCTTCTTCTGTTTCTCTCTTTCCCTCCATCCATCAAGCCATTCATTCATCTTTCTGTCTCTCCATCCATATCTATCTAATCTATCTATCTCTCTCCCTCTATCTCTATCTATCCATCTACTCATCCATCCATTTATCCATCTCTGTATACGTCTATCTATCTATCTATCTATCTATCCATCCATCCATCCATCTCTTTCTCTCCCTCTCCATCTATCTATCCATCCATTCATCCATCTACCTCTCTATCTGTATATTCATATGTCTATCTATCTATCTATCTATCTATCTATCTATCTATCTATCTATCTATCTATCCATCTATTCATCCATCTATTTATTAATTTATCTGTCTATGCCACCTCTCTCTCCATCCTTCTCCCCCTCTATGTTTGCCTCTATATGTTCCCATTTGGTGCATCTATCTGTCTATCTATCTTTATCTGTCACTGGCAGATATGTGTATGTCTACACTATAGATGTATGTGTATTATATATGTGTGTGTGTGTGTGGTTTTATGTCTATCCCTGCCACGTGTATGTCTAGCAGATAGATATATGCATATACATATACGTATATGTATACACACATATATGTCTAATATATATGAGTGTGTGTGCCTGTCCACTATTTATTTGTGTCCAATGTAGATAAGTACATGTGTGTCCAGTATAGATACTTGTATGTACATATCCTATATATATGTGTATGTGTGTGGGGGTTTTTTACCTACCACATCTGTGTGTCTGTCCTATATATGTTGTGTGTGTGTGTGTGTGTGTGTATGTATGTGTGTGTGTGTGTGTGTGTGTGTGTATATATATATATATATATATATCCATCGCTCTCGCTCTCTCTCTCTCTCTCTATATATATATATATATCCCTATCTATCTATATATGCATCTTTCTATATGCAATGATATATGTCTCTTTCTGACCCTGCTGCATGTGTGTGTCTATATAGTATAAATATATGTAGGTATATGTGTTCTGGCCACATGCGTGTGTCTGTACACTATAAGTTTATAGTGTGTCCATACACTGTAAGTGTGTGTGTGTATCTGTATATATTTATCTATGTGTGTGCAAGAGAGCCAGTGAAGCATTGCTACAACCACATTTCTGGTGATGATGATGATGATGATGATGATGATGATGATGATGATGATAATAATAGTTGGAAGCACATGCATCCCTTTGGCACAACTCCCCACTTTCCCGCCTGAGTTGGTTTCTGCTGCAGGATTTGAGGAAAGAGAAGCTCAGCAGTTCTTCTCTGCAAAAACCTCCAATCTGCAAAAGGGAAAGAAAGCCAGCATCTCTGGTGCATTCAAGGTTTTCTGGGCTCTGCGTCGGGAAAGAGTTTTCAAGGGTTTTTCCTCCTCCTCTTCTTCTTTTTCCTTCCTCCTTTGTTCTCTTATTCATCCTTTTTCTCCTTCTCCTCCTGGTTTCTTCTTATTCTTCTTCCTCCTTTCTCCTTTTTACTCTTCTTGGTCCTCTTTCTTCATATTCTTCCTCCTTTTCCTCTTCCTCTTCTTTCTCATTCTCTTCTTGACTTCTTTTCTTCCTTCTTTTTTTCTTCCTTCCTCTTTCTCTTTCTCCTGCCAACTTCTTCTCTTCCTCTTTCTTTCTTCTCCTCTTGACTTTTCTTCCTTTTCTTCTTCTTCCCAGTGTTCTTCCTAGATACATAGATTGATAGATGTATGACTGGATAAATAGATAGATAAACTTATGGATATATGAATAAAGAGGGAGATGGATCAATAAAGGGATAGGGATAGATAGATAGATCAATAGATGAATGAATGAATAGATGAACATATGGGTATATTGATAGAGAGGGAGATGGATCAATAAATGGGTGAAGGCATAGATGGATCAATAAATAAATGCAGATAGACCTATGGATATATGGATATATGGATAGAGGGGGAGATGGATCAATTAATAGATGAAGGGATAGATAGATAAATAAATAAATAAATGGATAGATAGATCAATAGATAGACAGACAGACAGACAGACAGATAGACCTATGGATATATGGATAGATAGGTCAATAAATAAATGAATGGATGGATGGATGGATAGATACATAGATACAGACAGATAGACCTATGGACATACGGCTAAAGAGGGAGATGGATCAATAAATGGATGAGGGAATAGATAGATAGGTCAATAAATAAATCGATGAATGGGTGGATAGATAGACATATGATATTTGGATAGAAAGGGGGATGGATCAATCAATGGATGAAGGAATAGATAGGTCAATAAATAAGTGGATAGATAGATAGATAGATAGATAGATAGATAGATAGATAGATAGATCTATGGATATACGGATAGAGAGGGAAATGGATCAATAAATGGATGAAGGGATAGATAGACAGACAGATATCAATAAATAGATGTATGAATGGATAAACAGACATGTGAACATATGGATAGGGAGAGAGATGGATAGACAAATGGATAGATGGAGAGAGAGGAAAAAAGAAGAAGAAAACAGAAGAGGGATAGATAGGAAAAGAGAAGATAGGGATAGACAGAGAGAGATGGGAAGGAGAAAAAAATAGATAGATGATAGATAGATAGATAGATAGATAGATAGATAGATAGATAGATAAGAGGAGAAGATAAGGATAGATAGGAAAGGGGGAGAAGGGGAAAATAGGGATAGATAGGTAGAGAGGAGAAGAAAGGGATAGATTGATATATGGATAGATGAATGAACGGAGAGAGAGAGAGAGAGAGCAAAAGATGAATGAATGGCTTGAAGGATGGATTGGATGGAGAGAGGGACAGACAGAAAAAGAGATAATAAGAATAGATATAGAAAAAGGAGGAGAAGATAGGAATAGATAGATGGGGGAGAGGAGAAGATAGGGATAGAGAAAAAGAGGAGAAGATAGAAATAGAAAGAAAAAAAGAAGGAGAAAGAAAAGGATAGATAGATACCCACTTCCTGTTTTCTTTCTTCTCCTCTTTGCAACTTCTTTTATTCTTCCTCGGTTTCTTTTTCCTCCTGAATTATTCTTCCTTTCTTCCTTTTCTTCATCATCTCCCCCTCTTCCTCCTCCTGACTTCTTCCTTCCTTCCTTCTCTTCTTCTTTCTCCTTCTGACCTTCTCTTCTCTTTTTTTCTCTTTCCTCTTTTTCTTTCTCCTCCTCCCAACTTTTTCTTCTATTCTTCCTTTGGGAAAGGAAGCTTGAAAATAGCATTTGGTACCTTGGAGAGCTCCTTTGGAAAGAGATGCCCAAAGAGAGCTCCCTTAAAGTTCAGACTCAAACCCAAAGCGGACCAGAGGGAGTCCTTCTTGAAAGAAAAATGATAACATTGTGGGCTTTGAAGGCACTCAAAAAAGGCATTCAACACCTTGGAAATTTTGGACTCAAACCCAAAATGGACAGGAGGATGTCCTTCTTGGTAGAGAGATGATAGTGTTGTGGGTTTCCATCCCAGACTTTGAAGGCATTTGAAAAGTCTTTCAGCACCTTGGAGAGTTCCACAAAAGAGAGCTCCTTTAGAGTTCAGACTAGAACCCAAAGCAGATAGAGATAGATGATAATGTTGTGGGTTTCATCCCAGACTTCAAAGGGACTCGAGAGCTCAAGTTCAGACTAGAACCCAAAGCAGACAGAAGACAATCCTTCTTGATTTTTTTTGTGTCAGGAGCGACTTGAGAAACTGCAAGTCGCTTCTGGTATGAGACAATTGGCTGTCTGCAAGGATGTTGCCCAGGGGATGCCCAGATGTTTTGATGTTTTACCATCCTTGTGGGAGGTTTATCTCATGTCCCCGCATGGGAAGCTGGAGCTGACCGAAGGAGCTCATCCGCACTCTCCTCGGATTCGAATCTCCAACCTTGATAGGAAGGTGATAATGCTGTAGGTTTCCATCCCATGCTTTGAAAGAGCTTGAAAAGGTGTCCGGACCTTGGAGAACTCCACCAAAGAGAGCTCCTTTAGAGTTCAGACTAGAACCCAAAGCAGACAGAAGGCAATCCTTCTTGATAGAGAGATGATAATGGTCTGGGTTGTGTCCCAGGCTTTGAAAGAGCTTGAAATTGCATTTGATACCTTGGAGAGCTCCTTAAAGTTTGGATTCAAACTCAAAGTGGACAGAAGGCAGACCTTCTTGATAGAGAGATGATAATGTTGTGGGTTTCACCCCAGGCTTTGAAAGATCTGGCAAATGCATTTGGTACCTTGGACAGCTCCTTTGGAAAGAGCTGCCCAAAGGGACCTCTTCTTTTAAAGTTCAGACTAAAGCCTAAAGCAGACAGAAGGCTTCTTCTTAGTGAGATGATAACGTTGTGAGTTGCATCCTGGGTTTCAAAGGAGCCCAGGATGCAACTCAGCACCTTGGAGAACTCAACCAAAGAGAGCTCCTCTAAAGTTAAGACTCAAACCCGAAGTGGGTCCTTCTTGCCAGTCAGGCACACTCAATCCCTTCTCCTTCTACTCTTTCTTTTGCAGGCACATGCTGACCCCCGGAGCCTGAGCCATGCGGGATTCCGGTGTGCCGCCGCTGCCGCCGCTGCCCCCGCACAACCCGGCCCCTTTGCGGAGATCGCCATGAGCACCTGCCGGTACAACGGAGGGGTCATCCGCCCACTGAGCGGCCTGAGCCGCCCCCATGAGCCGGAGGCTGAGGCCCAGCCACTGCAGCCCCTCCGCGGCCACCCAGCCCCCCGCCTGGAGGTGGTGGTCTCTCCGGGTCCTGAGGGGGTGCAGCGGCCACGGGACGAGGAGGAGGAAGAAGAGGAAGAGGAGGAGGAGGAGGATGACCGCCACCCCTGCGCCCAGGCCCACCGGCCCCACAAGAAGAACCAGAACGTGGGCTACCGGCTGGGACACCGCCGGGCCCTCTTTGAGAAGCGCAAGCGCCTCAGCGACTATGCCCTCATCTTTGGCATGTTTGGCATCGTGGTCATGGTCACCGAGACTGAGCTCTCCTGGGGGGTCTACACCAAGGTGGGTCTGCCGCCAAATGGGGGGGGGACCTCCAGCCAGAGAGAGCAGAGGGAGGATTGAGATTGATGCATAACAGATAGGTAGGTAGGTAGATAGATAGATAGATAGATAGATAGATAGATAGATAGATAGATGTATTATAAGATTGAGATAGACCAATAGATGATAGATAGGATTGAGATAGGTAAATAGATGATGGATAGGATTGAGATAGATCAATAGATGATAGATGGGATTGATATAGATCGATAGATAAATAGATAATAGGAGATAGATAGATAGATAGATAGATAGATAGAATATATGATTGAAATATATCCGTTTATGATAGAAAGGACTGAGATAGATCAATAGATGATAGATAGGATTGAGATAGATAGATGATAGGTATATCATTCCAAGGGCCATCCAGTCCAAGACACAATCAAACCCTTCTAACAGATGGCCATCCAATCATAGGTATGATAGACAAGATATAGATATAGATATAGATACACACACACACACACACAGAGTCCCCATCTCCCGATGGAGGCCTATCCATGCTCTACTTGTACATTTAGAGCTAGCAAGGTGACTTTCCTCTATGTCTCGAAACACAAAGGCTGATTTAAAATAGAATTTTGACATTTGTTTCACATTCGTCTCCAAAAGACGGCCATGTCAGGCCTCGTGCTTCCGAACAAAGGGGCTCATTTAAAATAGACAGTGTTGCTCAGAGAAAGGATCTCTCTCTTCCTTCTGACTCTCTTTTTCTATCTTTTCTTTTTCCTTTTCTTTGCCAGGAGTCTTCATATTCCTTTGCCCTGAAATGCCTTATCAGCTTGTCTACCATCATCCTTTTGGGGCTCATCATTATGTACCATGCCAGGGAGATCCAGGTAAAGCTTTTGGAAGTAATAATAATGTTTTTTATTTCACCAGAACATTTTAATACCAGCTGAAAAGTAGGGTGGTGGAAGACTGATTAAATAATCATAATAATAATACATTTTTATTTAGCTGGTACATTTTAATACTAGCCAAAAAGTGGAATGGCAGAGGATTAAATAATAATAACAACAATAATAATATGATGATAATAATAATAATAATAATAATAATAATAATAATAATAATAACAATAACAATAATAATAATAATATACCAGCATTAAAGAAAGGGAAAATTATTCACAGCGAGGGCATAGAGATGCCAAATGGACAAACCATAAAATGCAATCAGACTGAAGCCTATAAATATCTGAGTATACTACAGTTGGACAATATCAAGCATGGGCATGTGAAAAGTGTGGTCAGCAAAGAATATGTCCAACGGGTCAGAAATATTTTGAAGAGTAAATTAAATGGTGAAAATACGATCAAGGCTCTCAACACCTGGGCCATCCCCGTCATTAGATACACTGCTGGGATTGTGAACTGGACACAAGCAGAGCTGGATGATCTGGACAGAAAAACAAGGAAACTGCTGACAATCCACGACTCCTGACACCCACGTAGTGATGTCGACAGACTTGACCTGCCCAGAAAATCAGGAGGCAGAGGGCTTCTGCAAGTGAAACGGTAGAAGAAGAGAAACACACACTGGCAGATTATGTGAAAGGCAGTCAAGAACCAACATTGATGGAAGTCAATAGTAGTAAACCGCTTCAAGTGCAAAAGAAAAAGAGGGAATACCGTAATAATACAATGCAGAGCAGAAGAGAAAAGTGGCAAAAGAAGGCTCTCCATGGACAGTTCCTGGGAAAATTTGAGAGCCAAATTGACAAAGAAAAAACATGGCTGTGGCTCACACATGGAACTTTGAAAAAAGAGACGACGGAGGGCCTGATTCTGGCAGCCCAAGAACAAGCCATTAGAACAAATGCCATCAAAGCCAGAATTGAAAAGTCATCAACAAATCCCAAATGTAGACTCTGCAAGGAAGCAGATGAAACAATAGATCACATCCTCAGCTGCTGCAAGAAGATCACGCAGACAAACTACAAACAGAGGCACAACACCGTTACTCAGATGATTCATTGGAACTTGTGCCACAAATACTGTGGGGCTGCCCTTGAAAACAGCCTGGAAATTTCAATTGATACAACGGGCGGCAGCCAGGTTACTAACAGGTGCTTCTTACAGAGAGCAGTCAACCCTCTTGTTTAAGGAGCTCCATTGGCTGATGTTCATTTTCCGGTCCCAGTTCAAGGTGCAGGTTTGACCTGCAAAGCCCTGAACGGTTTGGGACCCGCCTATCTGCGCGACTGCATTTCTGTGTATGAACCCACACGATCTCTTTGATCATCTGGAGAGGCCCTGCTCACGCTCCCACCTCCTTCGCAGGTGCGATTGGTGGGGATGAGGGAGAGGGCCTTCTCGGTGGTAGCCCCTCGACTCTGGAACTCTCTTCCCAGGGATATCAGACATGCCCCAACTCTGGCAGTCTTTAGGAGGAGCCTGAAAACATGGTTGTTCCAGTGTGCCTTCCCAGAATAAGGAAAACTCTCAGCAATATGCCCTCAGATACACTTTACCAGTGATTTAGGACTGACTGCATTCCCTCAATTCTCTCTGAAAATTTTCACGTCACGTCAGCATTATTTTAATTTTAATCTATTACATTTAGCCCGGCCATTGGTTTTTAACATGTTGTATGCCACTGTTGATTGTTTATTGCTTATTTTTTGTTTATGTGATTTATGTGATTTATGTGGGGCAATGCTGACAGGGGATAGGGAAAAGGCAGAACTACTTAATGCCTTCTTTGACTCGGTCTTCTCACAAAAAGAGAGTCTTCAACCTCAGCAAGATGGAGTGGATGAGGGATTGGAGGACATCCAACCCCAAATTGGGAAAGAAGTCGTCCAGGAATACCTGGCCGCTCTTAATGAGTTCAAGTCCCCAGGGCCAGATCAACTACACCCCAGAGTATTGAAGGAACTAGCGGAAGTCATTTCGGAACCATTGGCAACCATCTTTGAGAGTTCTTGGAGAACGGGAGAAGTTCCAGCAGATTGGAGGAGGGCCAATGTGGTCCCAATCTTCAAGAAGGGAAAAAAGGATGACCCAAACAACTACCGTCCGGTCAGCCTCACGTCGATACCGGGCAAGATTCTGGAAAAGATTGTTAAGGAAGCGGTCTGCAAACACTTAGAAACAAATGCAGTCATCGCTAGTAGTCAACATGGATTTATCAAAAACAAGTCATGCCAGACTAATCTGATCTCTTTCTTCGATAGAGCTACAAGCTGGGTAGATGCGGGGAATGCCGTGGATGTAGCGTACCTGGATTTCAGTAAGGCCTTCGACAAGGTCCCCCATGACCTTCTGGCAAGGAAACTAGTCCAATGTGGGCTAGGCAAAACTACGGTGAGGTGGATCTGTAATTGGTTAAATGGACGAACCCAGAGGGTGCTCACTAATGCTTCCTCTTCATCTTGGAAAGAAGTGACAAGTGGAGTGCCGCAGGGTTCCGTCCTGGGCCTGGTCCTGTTCAACATCTTTATTAATGACTTAGATGAAGGGCAAGAAGGCATGTTCATCAAGTTTGCAGATGACACCAAATTGGGAGGGATAGCCAATACTCCAGAGGACAGGAGCAGGATTCAAAACGATCTTGACAGATTAGAGAGATGGGCCAAAACTAACAAAATGAAGTTCAACAGTGACAAATGCAAGATACTCCACTTTGGCAGAAAAAATGAAATGCAACGATACAGAATGGGTGACGCCTGGCTCGAGAGCAGTACGTGTGAAAAAGATCTTGGAGTCCTCGTGGACAACAAGTTAAACATGAGCCAACAATGTGATGTGGCGGCAAAAAAAGCCAATGGGATTTTGGCCTGCATCAATAGGAGCCTAGTGTCTAGATCTAGGGAAGTAATGCTACCCCTCTATTCTGCTTTGGTTAGACCACACCTGGAATATTGTGTCCAATTCTGGGCACCACAATTCAAGAGAGATATTGACAAGCTGGAATGTGTCCAGAGGAGGGTGACTAAAATGATCAAGGGTCTGGAGAACAAGCCCTATGAGGAGCGGCTTAAGGAGCTGGGCATGTTTAGCCTGAAGAAGAGAAGGCTGAGAGGAGATATGATAGCCATGTATAAATATGTGAGAGGAAGCCACAGGGAGGAGGGAGCAAGCTTGTTTACTGCTTTCCTGGAGACTAGGATGCGGAATAATGGCTTCAAACTACAAGAAGGAGATTCCATCTGAACATGAGGAAGAACTTCCTGACTGTGAGAGCTGTTCAGCAGTGGAACTCGCTGCCTCGGAGTGTGGTGGAGGCTCCTTCTTTGGAAGCTTTTAAACAGAGGCTGGATGGCCATCTGTCAGGGGTGATTTGAATGCAATATTCCTGCTTCTTGGCAGGGGGTTGGACTGGATGGCCCATGAGGTCTCTTCCAACTCTTTGATTTTTGTTATGTTTTATATGAATTGTATTGTATTGACTGTTTTATTTGATGTTTTGTTTATTGATGTATTGTGGGCTTGGCCTCATGTAAGCGCACCGAGTCCCTTGGGGAGATGGTAGCGGGGTACAAATAAAGATTATTATTATTATTATTATTATTATTATTATTATTATTATTATTATTATTTTATCCCACTTTATCTCTCCCAAAGGAAACTCAAATCAGAAAACATGAACACATAACAATTACTAGACAGACGTTTTTGGAGCACACAATACTCCTGACCTCACGATCGTGTTAAAAAACAAAGTATGGATTGTTGATGTTGCAATCCCAGGTGACAGCAGGATTGAAGAGAAACAACTGGAAAAGCTGACATGAGGATTTAAACATTGAACTGCAAAGACTCTGACACAAGCCAGTAAAGGTGGTCCCAGTGGTGATCGGCACACTGGTGCAGTGCCTAAAGACCTTGGCCTGCACTTAAACACAATGGGCGCTGACAAAATTACCATCTGCCAGCTGCAAAAGCCCCTACTGGGATCTGCATGCATTATTTGCTGATACATCACACAGTCTAGACACTTGGGAAGTGTCCTGTGATCCAATACAACAGCCAGCAGAGTTATCTTCTTTGCTGTGTACTAATCTTGTTATGTTTCAAATAATAATAATATGATTAAACAATAATAATAATAAATTTTATTTCCCTTTCCTCCCTGCTTCTTCCTTCCTTCTTTCCTCCCTCCCTCCCATCTTTCTCTCCTTCCTTCCTCCTTCCCTTCTTCTTTCCCTTCCTTCCTTCCTTCCTCACTCTTCTTCCTTCCTCTCCTCCTTCCTTATATTCATCTGTCCTCCCTCCCTTTTTCTCTCCTCCCTCCCTTCCTTCTCTCCTTCCTTCCTTCCTTCCTTCTGTCTGTCCGTCTTCCCTTCCTTCCTCTTTCCCTTCCTTTTCTTCTCTCCTTCCTTCCTTCCTTCCTTCCTTCCTTCCTTCCTTCCTTCCTTCCTTCCTTCGTTCCTACCTCCCTCCCTTCCTTATTTCCTTTCCTTCCTTTCTTCCTTCCTTCCCTCCTTCCTCTCTTCCTTCCTTGCTTCTTTTCCCTTTCTCTCCCTTCCTTCCTTCCTTCCTTCCTCTTCCTTCCTTCCTTCCTTCCTCTCCCTTCCTTCCCTTCCTCCTTCCTTCCTTCCTTCTTCCTTCCTTCCTTCTTTCTTCCTTCCTTCCTTCCTCTTTCCTTCCTTTTCTTCTTCCTTCCTTCCTTCCTTCCTTCCTTCCTTTTCCCCCTCCCTCCCTTCCCTTATTTCCTTCCTTTCTTCTTCCTCTCCCTCCCTCCTTCCTCTCTTCCTTCCTTGCTCTTTCCATCTTTCTCCCTCCATCCCCCTTCTTTCCTTCCTTCCTCCCTTCCTTCCTTCCTTCTCTCCTCTCCTTCTTCCCTTCCTTCCTTCCTTCCTTCCTTCTTCCTTTCCTTCCTTCCTTTTCCTTCTTTCGTTCTCTCCTTCCTTCCTTCCTTCCTTCCTTCCTTCCTTCCTTCCTTCCTTCCTTCGTCTCTCCCTCCCTTCCTTCCCTTCCTCCTCTCTTCCCTCCCTCCTGCCGCTGCAGCTCTTCATGGTGGACAATGGAGCGGACGACTGGCGCATTGCTATGACCTACGAGCGCATCTTCTTCATTGGGCTAGAGCTGCTGGTGTGCGCGGTGCACCCTGTGCCGGGCCAGTACTTCTTCACCTGGACGGCACGCCTGGCCTTCAGCTACAGCACCTCAGAGGCCCAGACCGACGTGGACGTGGTGCTCTCCATTCCCATGTTCCTGCGCCTCTACCTGATTGGGCGGGTGATGCTGCTGCACAGCAAGCTCTTCACCGACGCCTCCTCCCGCAGCATCGGGGCCCTCAACAAGATCAACTTCAACACTCGCTTTGTCATGAAGACCCTCATGACCATCTGCCCTGGCACTGTCCTCCTCGTCTTCAGCATCTCCTCCTGGATCATCGCTGCCTGGACCGTCCGCGTCTGCGAGAGGTCAGACAGCGCCCCATAAGAGGAGGACCCCTATAATCTATCCATCCATCTATCTATCTATCTATCTATCTATCTATCTATCTATCTCAATCCTATCTATCATCTAACTATCCCAGTCCTATCATCTATCTATCTATCTATCTATCTATCTATCTATCTATCTATCTATCTATCTATTTAAGGGGGCTCAGGGCAGATCACAGAACACATATATGGCAAACATTCAGTGCCGTTAAACAGTGACCAGACAGATAACTGTATATAGATAGAGGTATATAGAGGCTTTTCCTATCTTCGGCATCTTGGAGGCTTGTGCTTGGTTCCGGCCACAGGGGGGTGCTGTCACTCCAGTTTCCCTGCCAAAGAGCTTTGTTTGTAAACTTCCTCCTTGATCGAATCACCGGCATTTTTCTGGCATTTCCTTATGGGTGCCTTAAATGCCTTCCCACTTAAGTGGTACCTATTTATCTACACACATTGCTGTTTTCGAAACTGCTAGGCAGAAGCTGGGCTAAAGGCCAGGAGCTCACCCTGACCTGGGCTTCAACCTTTTGGCAAGATTTACCGACTTGAGGCGGTTCACAAGGCAACAATTCAATGCCAACAACATCATAAAAACATTAAAAACATTTAAAAGCAATGAACATATCAATTAAGACCACAGCAATAGTAAAAATAAGTCATTTCATCTCCTAGATAAAAACGTAATCCAAACTCATAATCCAATTGTTCCATAATCCAATGTCTATTACACTGCCTTTTCAAACGCCTGCTTGACTTTTTTTGGAAGATCAAAAGGGAGGGAGCCAATCTAATGTCCCTAGGAAGGACGTTCCATAGCCGAGGGGCCACCACTGAGAAGGTCCTGTCTCTCGTCCCTGCCAAACGTATTTGAGACACAGACAGAGTCGAGAGCAGGCCCTCCCCAGACGATCTTAACGTTCTAGATGGTTCACAAGGAGAGATGTGTTCGGACAGGTAAGTTGGGCCAGAACCGTTTAGGGCTTTATAGGCTAAAGCCAGCACTTTGAATTGTGCCCGGTAGCAAACTGGCAGCCAGTGGAGCTGGCACAGCAGAGGAGTTGCATGTTCCCTGAGCACTGTTCCTGTTAGTAATCTGGCTGCCGTCCGTTAGACCAATTGAAGCTTCCAGACAGTCTTCAAAGGCAACCCCATATAGAGTGCATTGCAGTAGTCTATATGGGATGTAACCAGAGTGTGGACTACCATGGCCAAGTCAGACTTTCCAAGGTATGCGCACAGCTTGCGCACAAGCTTTAACTGTGCAAATGCTCCCCTGGTCACCGCTGAGACCTGGGGTTCCAGGCTCAGCCATGAGTCCAGGATCACTCCCAAGCTGCGAACCTGTGTATCTATCTATCTATCTATCTATCTATCTATCTATCTATCTATCTATCTATCTCAATCTTATCTATCATCTATCTATCTTTTTCAATCCTATCTATCTCAATCCTATCTATCTATCTATCTATCTATCTATCTATCTCCTTATCTATGCCTATGTCTCTCAATCCTATCTATCAGGCACCACTCAATTCTTCCCAACAGATGGTCATCCATATATGATAGATACAATTGAGCTAGATATATGATAGATAGGTTTGAGATACATAGGTAGGTATGTAGATGATATAGGATTGAAATAAATATTAGATAGTATTGAGATACATAGATAGCTAGATAGATTATAGATAAGAATGAGATACATAGATCGATATCAACGGTATCTAATATCTATCAATGTGAATCCTATCTATCTCAATCCTATCTATCATCAATCTATCTATCTGTCTCTCTATCTATCTATCTATCACATAGAAACCGCGTTGTCGTCATCCTTCCACCTTTATTCTCTTGTCCTTCCCATTTCCCAGTTTCTTTCTTTTTCTTATTTATTTCCCCTTTCCCTTCTTTCATGTCTCCTCTTCTTCCTTTCCACTCTTTCTTTTCCTCCTCTTTTTCCTCCTTCCTCTTCCTTCTCTCCTCCTCCTTCCTCCCCCTTCCATTTCTTCCTTTACCTTCTTGCTCTTTTCCACCTCTTCTCCCTTTTTACCCTTCTTTTGTTCTTCCTATTTCCCCATTTCTTCTCATTTATTCCCTCTTCTGCTACTTCCCTTTCTCCTTTTTCCCCTTCCCCTTCTTTTCCTTCCCTTCCTTCTGTGCTTGTTCCTTTCTTTTCCTTTTCCTCTTCTTTACTTCTTCCTCATTGCCTCCTTCTTCCTCTCCTTTCTTTTCTTTCTCCCCCTCCTCTTTTGCATCTCTTTCCTCTTCTTTACTTCTTCTTCCTTGTTCCCTCCTCCTTCCTCTCCTTCCTTTTCTTTCTCTCCCTCCTCTTTTGCATCTTTTCTCCTCTTTGCCTCTTCTTCCTTGTTCCCTCCTTCTTCCTCTCCTTCCTTTTCTTCCTCTCCCTACTCTTTTGCATCTCTTTCCTCTTCTTTACTTCTTCTTCCTTGTTCCCTCCTCCTTCATCTCTTTCCTTTTCTTTATCTCCCTCCTCTTTCACGTCTCTTTCTTCCTCTTTACTATTTCTTTCTCGTTTCCTCCTCCTTCTTCCTCATTCGCGCCTTCATCCTCTCCTTCCTTTGCTTTCTCTCACTTCTCCTTCCTTAATTTGGCAGGCAGTGGGTTGGCCTATAGTTTCCCCAAAGGCCTGTAAAAAGGGGAGCCGCCACCCATTTGGCCTACTTTCCTCCAAGGCAATGGGTTAAAAACGGAACCAGAGGCATTGGGATGGATTCAGTCCATGTCCCAAGCCTTTCCAAGGGGAGGAAGAGCCGGTTCCCTTTGCCCGGCTGCCGCGTGTTGTGCCAGTCGGACCCAGTAACCATGCTGTTGTTTGTCTCTGTTTCCCCCTCCTCTCCTCTCTTACCTGCTGTGCCTTTCGTAGGGACAAACTGTGAGTCCTGTGCGGTGGGCATGCTCCGTCTGGGCCTAGAGCCGCTGTGGGAGCGGGACACGGTCTTAGGATTCGCTGCAAAAGGGGCACTGAGAAAGCAACCCAATCCAGTGACATCTCCAAATTGGCCCAAGACGGTCTGGCCTCCTCCCATTGTTCCTCTTCTCCATGTCCATTCCACCTTTTCCCTCTTTGATTGCCCCCTTTCCTTTTGGGAAAATCATGTAATAAAAGACCCATCTAAAATAAGGGTAAATGATGTATTAAAAGACCCACCTGCTTCCTGGAAAAGATGGGGAAATAATTATTAAAAAGGGAAATAATGTATTAAAAGACCCACCTCCTGCCTAAAAATGATGGAGATATAATTTATTAAAAGACCCGACCGATTCCTAAAAATGATTGGGAAATAATGTATTAAAAGGCCCATCAACAATGATAGGAAAATAATGTGTTTCAAGACCCACCTGATTCCTGGAAAAGATGGGTAAATAATGTATTAAAGGACCCATCTACAATGACGGGGAAATAATGTATTAAAAGACCCACATGCTTCCTGGAAAAGATGGGGAAATGTTGTATCAAAAGATCCATATAAACTAACAGGAAATAATGTATTAAAAGACTCATTCTTCTTGAAAATGATGGGGAAATCATGTATTAAAAGACCCGCCTCCTGCCTGAAAATGATGGGAAAGTAATGTATTAAAAGACCCATCTAAAATAACAGGAAATAATGCATTAAAAGACCCATCTGCCATGTGGAAATGGTGGGGAAATGATGTATTAAAAGACCCACCTGCTTCCTGGAAAAGACGGGAGAAATGTTGTATTAAAAGACCCACCTGCTTCCTGAAAATGATGGGGAAATGATGTATTCAAAGGCAGACCTGCTAGGGGAAAAGCAGCAATCCTAAATGCCTCAGCTTGCCTGGCTTGACCTGGCTTGACCTTCTAGCTGTTTTGACTTCCTTGCTTGACCTCGCCTGACCTTGTAGCCTGGCCTGACCTTCCTCCTTTTCTCGTCTTCTTCCCTCCTTCCTTGTGCATGATCTGAAACCTCAGCACATGCACCCAGTGGTGCTATGGACTACAACATCCATCTGGCCCTTCCCTAGGCTTCTCCAGCCTCAATTCTCATATCAACGGTGGATTGTTTCTCCCGTTGTCCCCATTATAATCCAAAGTATTTCAAATCTTGAATTGGCCTACTCTGAATCGAGACTCTATTAAACATCCAAAGCATTTTAGACTCCATCTTTGAGGGGGGTTTTTTAGCCATAACACCACTGGTTGCTTCTTCTCTCTTGGCTCCCCCTCCCACCTGCCCAAAAAGGCACAGCGGTTCGTAACGGCCCTTTAAATCTATCCAAGGCTCTATCCTTTGGATAGATCCCTCTGCCAGAAAGTTCAGAGCAAAACCAGGAGCGGATTGGCTGAGATTTGGTTGTCTCCTGAATTTCTTTTTTATTATTATTATTATTATTATTATTATTATTATTATTATTATTATTATTATTTTGCTATATTGGGAAGGTTGCCACAAAGACAGAAGATAGGAAAGAGCCTTTGCAGAATGAGAGTGTCCATCATTTTTTCCTTAATTTAAAAAAAAAGGAAAGAATCTTAGTGAGAAGGGACATAACTGATTGATTAATTGATTGATTGGCAGTATTTATATTCCACCCTTCTCACCCGAAGGGAACTGAGAACACATACACGGCAAACATTCAATGCAGTTATACGCAGACAGGACAGACAACAGTACAGTATATAGGCTTTTGCCATCTTGGAGGTTGTGCTCAATTCCATTCAGCGGGGGCGGGGGGGGGGCAGTGTGCTGTCGCTCCATCCTCCATTTTGAAGAATCCTGTTCACAGACTTCCTCCTTTTTTGATTGAATTGCCGGCATTTTCCTTATTGTGCCATTAAAATATTTCCCCACATTAAGCGGTACCTATTTATCTAGAATCATAGAGCTGGAAGAGACCTTGTGGGCCATGCGGTCCAACCCCGTGCCAAGAAGCAGGAAAATCGCATTCAAATCACGCCCGACAGATGGCCATCCAGCCTCTGTTTAAAAGCCTCCAAAGAAGGAGCCTCCAGGGCAGAGAGAGAGTTCCACTGCTTAACAGCTTTTTCTCACAGTGAGGAAGTTCTTCCTCATGTTCAGGTGGAATATCCTTTCTTTCCTGTAGTTTGAAGGCATTGTTCTGCATCCTAGTCCTCCAGGGCAGCAGAAAGCAAGCCTGTTCCCTCCTCCCTATGACTTCCCCTCGCATCTTGAGCCATGGCCCTCATCATGTCTCCTCTCAGTATTCTCTTCTGCAGACTAAACATGCCCAGCTCTTTAAGCCGCTCCTCATAGGGCTTTTCTCTACACCCTTGATCCTTTGAGTTGCCCTCTTCTGGACACATTCCAGCTTAGAGTCAACCCCTCCCTTTGATTGCGGTGCCCAGAATTGGACACAGCGTGATTCCAGGTAAAGTGGTCTGATCAAGGCAGCATAGAATAGACAGGTAGCATGGATCTAGGCACTCAACTCCTATTGATGTAGGCAGGGCCGTAGCCAGAAAAAAATTTCGGGAGGGGTTGAATTTTGGGGGGGGGGGGTTGAAAATTTCACGGGGGGGATTGAAACCTGCCTCCTATTTTATTTATTTATTTATTTACAGCTTTTATATTCCGCCCTTCTCTTCACCCCGCAGGGGACTCAGTGTACACATATATGGCAAACATTCAGTGCCAATTTTTGACATACAAACATATACAGACATAGACAGAGGCTATTTAACTTTTTCTGGCCGCCAGGGAAGCTGTCGCTTTCCTCATCCATCTGCGACACTGATGAAGCACCGCATTCCCCACGCACTTCCCTGCTGGAATGCTTTGCCGGAGTCTTCTTTATGGCCTCATAAATCAGTTAATCCAGCCTCCCCACACTTTTAAGGTGGTACCTAATTTTCCTACTTGACAGATGCAACTGTCTTTCGGGTTGCAAAGGTCGACAACAGGCTACACACAATTGGTTGGAAACCCACTCCAACCCGGGCTGGCTTCAAACTCATGACCTTTGGTCAGAGTGACACTCCGCCAGCTGCGCCACAATCCCCACAAAGAACATAGCAGGGAGCAGAGCAGCCTTACATAGCGTGCAGCTCCGCCCCTGTCAACCACCTCCACCAAGTCTGGCCTCCTTAATGAGAGCATTCAACACACACACACCCAACTTGGTTGCTTCACTACATCGGCTATTGCTGCAAGTAATGACAGTGTAAATAAATTGTCAATATTTGCTTGAGATAGTTCGGGAGGGACTCTTAATTTTTTGCATCTCATAGACTTAGCAGCATGCGGATTTGGTTAACCAGTTAAAATTCATGAGTAAACCAGTTTTTTAAAAAAATCTGAAACATTTCGGGGGGGGGGGGTTGAACCCCTAAAACCCCCCCCCCCTTGCTGCAGGCCTGGATGTAGGCTAAAATCCCATTGGCTTTATTTTGCCACCACATAAGATTGTTGGCTCATGTCGTCCACGAGCACTCCAAGATCTTTTTCTACTCTACTCACAGCTGTTTTCGATCTGCTAGGTGGGCAGTGAGCTGGACTAAAGGCCAGGATCCAGGGCTGTCGCCAAGGGGGGAGGGTTAGGAGTTCAACCCCCCCCCCCCCATTTTTTCAGGTTTAAAAAGACCTGCTAAGTCTATGAGAAGCAAAAATTAAACAAGTCCCTCCAGAACTGCAAGCACTATCTCGAGCCAATTTCGACAATTTATTCACACTGTCATTACTTGCAGCAATAGCCAATAGAATGGAAGCAACCAAGTTGGTCCACCCATAATCGGCAGGCAAAACCTAAGGCATGGAAGGTGGTGGATTTGAAGGCCTTCATGAAGGAGACCAGACTTGGTGGAGGCGGTTGACTGGGGCGGAGCTTCAGATTATTTAAGGCTGCTCGCCCCCCCCCCCCCCCCCCCCCCCCCCGGTGCTCTTGAGGCCTTTCCCTCCTTTCCCTCCTTGCTCCCCCCTCCCCTTTTCCAGATAGTAGGTTCCCATTGCTATGCCTATATATAGGTTGTTTTCAGCTCTTAAATATTTGAAAACATACATAAGAAGCACAATGGGGCAAGAAAGATTGACTGGACTTGCACCCCTGAGTGTCCATCGAAGATTACTGATGTAGCCTGAATTCTCTCAAAGTGTACTGACACAGTTTTCAAGTGTTGTGGTATTCTTTATCAAAATTATCAATTAAATTACCAATTAAGAGTCATTTTCAGTTATTTTAAGACTTGAAACTTTGTAACTAAAATAGATGTACTGCAGCTGGTAGTTAACCTGCTGTACTAAAGCCCCATCTCCCAATGTATTAAAAGACCCATCTATAACCTGAAAAGGATGGAGAAATAATGTATGAAAAAGCCCATCTGAAATTTTTGGGAAGTAACATATTTAAAGATCCAACTATCACCTGAAATTGTATTAAAAGACCTATCACCTGAAAAGGATAGGAGCCATGGTGGTGCAATGGGTTAAACCCTTTTGCCATCTGAAGAAGCTTCCCATGAGAGAAGCCTCCCACAGGATGGTAAAACAGCTGGGTCTCCCCTGGGCAATTGCAGGCGGCCAATTCTCTCACACCAGAAGCGACTTGCAGATTCTAAACTCACTTCTGATATGATTTTCAAAAAAAAAACAAAAACCCTAAAAAGGATGGGAAAATAATGTATTAAAAGTTCCACCTGCCACCTGAAAGGGATGGGGAAATAACCCATCTAAAATGTATTTATTTATCGTGTCAGACATGAATTGGGTACAGTTATAATGTATTTAGACCACAAACAAAGTTAAAAACTTGGCATTATACTAAATGTCTTTTGACCAGAAACTGGCCACTTGGAGTGCCTCTGGTGTCGCTGTGAGAAAATCCTCCATTGTGCATATGGCAGGGCTCAGATGGCATTGTAGCTGGTGGTCTATGGTTTACTCTTCTCTGCACTTGCATGTTATAGACTCCACTTTGTAGCCCCATTTCTTAAGCTTGGCTCTGCATCTCGTGGTGCCAGAGCACAGTCTGTTCACCGCCTTCCAAGTCACCCAGTCTTCTGTGTGCCCAGAAGAGAGTCTCTCATCCGGTTTCAGCCACTGACTGAGGTTCCAGGTTTTAGCCTGCCACTTTTGGACTCCTGCTTGCTGAGGCGTTCCTGCGAGTATCTCTGTCGATCTTAGGAAGCAATTTCTTGATTTAAGGCATTGGCGTGTGGCTGATATCGAAACAGGGGATGGACTGGAGATGTCACCACATTGGTCCTTTCATTGTAGGCTGCTATTTCCTGGTGGATGTCAGGTGGTGCAATGCCAGCTAAACAGTGTAATTTCTCCAGCAGTGCTGGGCGTAGTCATCCTGTGATAATGTAGCATGTCTCATTAAGAGTTATATTTACTGTTTTATTCCGCACTGGGCATGTGTATTCAGCAGCAGAGTGGCAAAATGCAAGGGCAAATGTCTTCACTTTGTCTGGTTGTGATTTGCAGGTAGTGCCAGTCAGCTTTTGTATGATATTATATCTAGCACCCACTTTTTGCTTGATAGTAAAGCAGTGCTTCTTGTAGGTCAGAGCACGGTCCAGAGTGACACCCAGGTATTTTGGTGTGCTGCAATGCTCCAGTGGGATTCCTTCCCAGGTAATCCTAAGAGCTCGAAGTGCTTGTCTGTTCTTAAGATGAAAGCACATGTCTGTGTTTTAGACAAATCAGGTGTTTTTCCCTGTAAAAGGCAGTAAGAGCACCTAAAGCTTCAGAGAGCTTCTGTTCGATCATTCCAAAGCACCCTGCTTGGGTGGTGATGGCATGATCATCAGCATAGATGAAAATCTCTGTCCCTTCTGGCAGTGGCTGGTCATTTGTGTTAAACATGGCTGGAGCAAGCACACTCCCCTGTGGCAGGCCGTTCTGTGTTCACCATCTGCTTCTCTGGCCCTGAAACTCATCAAAAAAGCTCCTGTTTTGTAGCAGATTTCCTATGAAGCGACTGAGGTGGTAATCCTTTGTGTGTTATACATTTTATTCAGGACAAGGCAATGATTTAAAATATTATATGACTTGCAGCATGCAACCCATCTAAAATGATGAGAAACAACCTGAAAATTATGAGAAAATAATGTATTAAAAGAGCCACTCAGACACTAAAAATAATGGGAAAATATTCTATTAAAGGACCCACCTGCCCGCTGAAAATAATGGAGAAATAATCTATTAAAAGACCCACCTCCCACCTGAAAATAGGTCTTTAAAGGCCACAATAATGATGTGTGATGGAGACAGGGAGCCAGTTGCAATCCTCTAAAACCCAGCTGGTGTTGATCTACAAAGGCTCCTTCCACTTCTGCTCTGAGTGGCAGCTGGCATCATGAGGGGGAGAATGACACGGTGCCCGTTTTGGTTTTTGTGGAAGGAAAGTGAAGCCGGTTCTGATGGAGATGATCTCCGTCTTCTTCTTCTTCTTCCTCTCTTTCCTGAGTAGGTACCATGACAAGCAAGATGTGACCAGCAACTTCCTTGGGGCCATGTGGCTCATATCCATCACCTTCCTCTCCATTGGCTATGGGGACATGGTGCCCCACACCTACTGCGGGAAAGGCGTCTGCTTGCTAACCGGCATCATGGTAAGCAGGCACTGGGCTCTAGGGCTGGGTTCAGGCCCTCAGCTGAGCACTTTTGGGGCCCAAATGGAGGCACTGCTATGCTAATTGGGGGTCCTTCCTCTTTCCCAGGGGGCTGGCTGCACGGCGCTGGTGGTGGCCGTTGTGGCGCGGAAGCTGGAGCTCACCAAAGCCGAGAAACACGTCCACAACTTCATGATGGATACGCAACTCAGCAAGCGGGTAAGAGGGGAGGCCATCTATGTTCAGAGAGGTGGGAAATAAATAAATAAATAAATAAATAAATATTATTGCTGCTATATATTGCTATACCTATGTTGGGGCCCACCTCGAGCCAAAAGCAGGGGCCGGAAATAAATAAATAAATAAATAAATACTATCACTATTATATATTTTTATTATTGCTACTGCTATTCTATATTATTATTATTACTTCTATTGCTATTATTACATATTATTATACATTATTATTATACATTAGATATTATTATTTATTATTATTGCTTTTATATATACTACTATTAGCATTATTACATATTATATATCATTATACATTATATATTATTCTTGCTATTGTATATTATGTTTATTACTTCTATTGCTATTATATATATATATTTATTTTTATTATTGCTATTATACATACTACTATTAGTATTATTACATATTACATTATCCATTATATATTCTTATTGTTATTACGATTATATATTATTACTATTAGTATTGCTATATATATATATATAATATTATACATTATATAATACTTATTATTATTGCTATTACTATTATATATTATTATTACTGTTACTGTTATTGTATATTATCATATATTACTATACATTATACATTATTATTTATTATTATTGCTGTATTGTCGAAGGCTTATTATTATTGCTATTGATATTATATAATATTATTACTATTATTATACATGGGCTGGGTTTTAGCACAACTGGTTAAACCACCAGCTGCAGTAAATCTTGTCATTCAAAAGGCTGCCAGTTCGAATCCCTGGTCAGGGTGAGCTCCTCCTGGCCTTTAGCCCAGCTTCCACCTACCTAGCGGTTTGAAAGCAAATGTGAGTAGATAAATAGGTTCCGCTTAAAAGTGGGGAGGTGTTTAAAGCACCCATAAGGCACTGTGGCAGGTAGCAAGCACAAAATCTCCAAGATGCTGAAATATGGAAAAAGCTGATATATACCTCCATCTATGTATAATTGTCTGTCTTGTTTGTGTATAAATGGCACGGAATGTTTGCTGTAAATATATGTTCTGTGATCCACCCTGAGTCCCCTTCGGGGTGAGAGGGCAGAATATGAATACTGTAAATAGTATAAATACTGTAAATATATTCTATATTATTATTTTTAATTATTGCTATTGCTCTTATATAATATTATTATTATTACTATTACTATTATTATACATATATATATATATATATATATATATATATATATATGCTATTATATATTATTATTATTATTATTATTATTATTATTTATTGCTATTGTTGTTATGCATTATTACCTTGCCAATATTTTAATTTGGACCATGAAGGATATGTGCAGCCACATTTGGTCCCGATCCATAAAGACATTGTGAGCATCTTTGCGGAACAAACAAATAAACACACACATTATTATTATTATTATTATTATTATTATTATTATTATTATTGCTGATATTATTCTTGCTTCCCGCTTTGTCCCCAGGTGAAAAACTCGGCTGCCAACGTACTCAGGGAAACGTGGCTCATCTACAAGCACACTAAGCTGGTGAAGAAAGTAGACCATGCCAAAGTGCGGAAACACCAGCGTAAGTTCCTCCAAGCCATTCATCAGTAAGTCAAACACCTTTACCTGCTTCAACCCCTCCCCTCCCGGGCTTGCTCTATGTCTCCCATGACCTTCCCCAACTTCCCACCTGCTTCGGGGTGTTCCTTTTTGTATGTAAAAGAAAAGGAATTGGTTACTAAGTAGTTTGCACCTGTTTGGAAAGACAGGATTATTGATCTCCCTATGGGGTTCCCAAGTGGTTGGTTTTGTTATTGAGCATGGAATGCAAATGGTAGTTACTAAGTAGTTGCCATTATACATGTCCCCAATTAGCCAATTGTGATATTGTGTGAGCAGAGAACACCAATGGAAAGAAGTAGTTACTAAGTAGTTACCATTATGGCAATGAAATTGCAGGGTCGTTGCTCAATGGTGCCCCAAGTGGCCAGTTTTGGTATTGCTATAGCATGGAACGCAAATGGAAAGAAGTAGTTACTAAGTAGTTCCCATTATATATGCTCTCTGGGGCCCCCAAAAGATCATTGCTTTTTGGGGGGCCCAAGTGGCCAATTTTGATATTGCGTAAGCATAGAACACATATGGAAAGAAGAATTTACTACGTAGTTGCCATTCATTATCCCGTTGTGAAATGGGAGATTGAAGTTCTAAGTAGTTATTTTTACCATTCAAAAATGCAGTGTTTTTTCTGTCTAGGGGCCCCAAGTGGCCATTTTTTTTATTGCTTGGGCATCGAATGCAAATGGAAAGAAGTAGTTATTATGTAGTTCCCATTGTACATTGAAAAATGCGAGATTGTTGCTCTCTGGGACCTCAAAGTGGACCATTTAGGTACTGCTTGAGCATAGAACACAAATGGAAAGAATAGTGACTAAGTAGTTCCCATTATACATTACAATTGTTGACTGGAGCCCCCAAGTGGCTGGATCAGGTACTGCAGCCTGGACATTCAGAGGAAGGGGCTGAATCCCATTCCGAAGAGCCAATGCAATGCCTGCTTTTTGTTGGGGGGGGGGGGAGGGGCATTTTGAGGGGTCTCTGTGTGTAATAATGTATTTAAAAACCCATCTAAAGTGATGGGAAATGATGTATTAAAAGACACAACTTCTTCCTGGAAATGATGGGAAATAATGTATTTAAGATGCACCTCCCGCCTGGAAATGATGGGGGAATAATATATTAAAAGACCCACCTCCCATCTGGAAATGATGGGAAAATAATGTAGTAAAAGACCCACCTCCCACCTGGAAATGATGGGGAAATAATATATTAAAAAATCCACCTCTCATCTGGAAATGATGGGGAAATAATATATTTAAAAAACTATCTTCTTCCTGTAAATAATGGGGAAATAATATATAAAAAGACCCACCTTCTTCCTGGAAATGATGGGTATATAATGTATTAAAAGACCTACCTCCCATCTAGAAATGACTGGGAAATAATGTATTAAAAACCCATCTTCATCCTGGAAATGATGGGAAAATAATGTATTAAAAGGCCCACCTTCTTCCTGGAAATGATGGGAAAATAATATATTAAAAGACCTGCCTCCCACCTGGAAATGATAGGGAAATAATGTATTAAAAGACTCACCTCCCACCTGGAAATGATAGGGATATAATGTATTAAAAGACTCACCTCCCACCTAGAAATGACTGGGAAATAATGTATTACAAGACCCATCTCCCACCTGGAAATGATGGGAAAATAATATATTAAAACACCCACCTTCTTCCTGGAAATGATGGGGATATAATGTATTAAAACACCCACCTCCCACCTAGAAATGATTGGGAAATAATATATTAAAAGACCCACCTCCTACTTGGAAATGATGGGAAATAATATTTTACAAGACCCAACTTCTTCCTGGAAATGATGGGAAATAATGTATTAAAAGACCCATCTCCTACCTGGAAATGATAGGGAAATAATGTATTACAAGACCCACCTCCCACCTGGAAATGAGGGAGAAATATTAAAAGACCCACCTTCTTCCTGGAAATGATGGGGAAAATGTATTACAAGATTCCTCTCCCACCTGAAAATGATAGAGAAGTAATTTATTACAAGACCCACCTCCCACCTGGAAATGATGGGGAAATGACATATTAAAAGACCCACTTTCTACCTGGAAATGATGGGAATCTATTGTATTAAAAGCCCCCTCTGCTTGTGTGTGCCACCCCCCTCCCTCCGCCTCCATTCCCCCCTCGCTCCCCCTTCTCTCTTGTGTTATTTACACCACTGTTGTTGTTTTCTTTTGTCTCTGTTTGGCCCCTCCCTCCAACCCCATCCTTGCAGAGCCCAGAAGTAAGTGGATTGTTGTGTCTCGGAGCTGCCTTTCTTCTTCTTCTCTCTTCCTTCTTTGTCAGCGCACTCTTTCTTTCTTTCTCTCGTTCTTTCTTTCTCTCTTTCTCTCTGCATGGTTTGTCCATTTGGGTCCTATGCTCAGGATGGAGGCGCATAGGCTGGGCAGTGGCTTCAGTCTCCATTCCTCCGTTTGGTCCCTTTCAATTTTCTGATCTACGCTGCAGCTTTAATGCAGTTTGATACCGCTTTAACTCCCATGGGATCCTTTGGCAGGCAAGGCCTCATTTAACTAAAATTCCCACCACTCCATAGCATATTACTACTACTACTACTACTACTATTATGGCTCTCATTGTGCCATGACCATTAAGTAATAATAATAAGCTCTGTCATTGTGCCATGACAGTAACTTAATAATAATAATAATAATAATAATAATAATAATAATAATATAAGTTAAAGTGTCTCATTGTATCATGACAGTTAAATAAACAAGAAATAAACAAGACGAACTCCAACTTTTAGCACAACACCACAAATATTGGGATAGGCATCACTGAAACCTGGTGGGATGACTCCTATCGCTGGAAAGTAGACATGGAGGGCTATAACCTCTTTCACAGAAACCGAACAAAGGGGAGAGGAGGCGGAGTAGCCTTATATGTCAAAAACTGTTACACTGCAGAAGAGATGCAAGACAGCAAACCAGGAAACCAGCTTGAAAGCATCTGGATAAGAATCAAGGGAACTGGCACTCAAAAAGATGTTGTTGTAGGCGTCTACTACAGACCTTCAAGCCAGGAGGAAGAACTTGATGAAGTCTTCTACCAACAGTTGACCAAACAGGCACAGAGAAGAGATGTAGTAGTCATGGGCGATTTCAACTATCCTGATATTTGCTGGAAAACAAACTCGGCCAAGAGTAAAAAGTCCAACAAATTCCTCGCTTGCCTTGCAGACAATTTCATGGTCCAGAAGGTAGAAGAGGCAACAAGGGGGTCGGCTACTCTTGATCTCATCCTAACAAATGTGGAGGACCTGATCGATGCGGTTGAAGTGGTCGGATCCTTAGGGGCAAGTGACCATGTGCTCCTGCAATTTGAGGTACAAAGGAAGGCCAAAACTAAGACAAGTCAAACCAGCATTTTGGACTTTAGGAGAGCTGATTTCCGAAAAATGAAGGAAACACTGAGCAGCATTCCATGGACACAGATACTAAAAGACAACAGAATTAAGGATGGATGGGAGTTTCTCAAGAGTGAAATACTCGAGGCACAATTGCAAACAGTGCCAACAAAGAGAAAAAATAGGACAAATGCAAAGAAGCCAGAATGGATGTCCAAAGAACTTATAACTGTGCTAAGACACAAAAGAGACATGGACAAGAAGTGGAAAAAGGGAGAAATCACCGAAGAAGAATTAAAACAAATAGCCAACTCCTGCAGGGAAAAGGTCCGCAAGGCTAAAGCACAAAATGAGCTCCTTGCCAGGGACATTAAAAACAATAAAAAGGGCTTCTTTTCTTATGTCAGTAGAAAAAGGAACAAGGAGGCGATAGGGCCTCTTCGAGGAGAAGATGGGGCAATGCTGACAGGGGGTAGGGAAAAGGCAGAACTACTTAATGCCTTCTTTGCCTCAGTCTTCTCACAAAAAGAAAGTCATCTTCAACCTTAGCAAGATGGAGTGGATGAGGGATTAGAGGACATCCAACCCCAAATTGGGAAACAAGTCATCCAGGAATACCTGGCCGCCTCTAAATGAATTCAAGTCCCCAGGGCCAGATCAACTACACCCAAGAGTATTGAAGGAACTAGCGGAAGTCATTTCGGAACCATTGGCAATAAGCTTTGAGAGTTCTTGGAGAACGGGAGAAGTTCCAGCAGACTGGAGGAGGGCCAATGTGGTCCCAGTCTTCAAGAAGGGAAAAAAGGATGACCCAAACAATTACCGTCCGGTCAGCCTCACGTCAATACCGGGCAAGATTCTGGAAAAAAAATTGTTAAGGAAATGGTCTGCAAACACTTAAAAACAAATGCGGTCATCGCTAATAGTCAACATGGATTTATCAACAACAAGTCATGCCAGACTAATCTGATCTCTTTTTACGAGTTACAAGCTGGATAGATGCGGGGAATGCCGTGGATGTAGCGTACCTGGATTTCAGTAAGGCCTTCGACAAGTTCCCCCATGACCTTCTGGCAAGGAAACTACTCCAATGTGGGCTAGGCAAAACTACGGTGAGGTGGATCAGTAATTGGTTAAATGGACGAACCCAGAGGGTGCTCACTAATGCTTCCTCTTCATCCTGGAAAGAAGTGACGAGCGGAGTGCCGCAGGGTTCCGTCCTGGGCCCGGTCCTGTTCAACATCTTTATTAATGACTTAGATGAAGGGCTAGAAGGCATGATCATCAAGTTTGCAGACAACACCAAATTGGGAGGGATAGTCAATACTCCAGAGGACAAGAGCAGGATTCAAAATGTTCTTGACAGATTAGAGAGATGGGCCAAAACTCACAAAATGAAGTTCAACAGGGACAAATGCAAGATACTTCACTTAGGCCGAAAAAACGAAATGCAACGATACAGAATGGGGGATGCCTGGCTCGAGAGCAGTATGTGTGAAAAAGATCTTGCAGTCCTTGTGGACAACAAGTTAAACATGAGCCAACAATGTGATGTGGCGGCAAAAGAAGCCAATGGGATTTTGGCCTGCATCAATAGGAGCATAGTGTCTAGATCTAGGGAAGTAATTCTACCCCTCTATTCCGCCTTGGTTCGACCACACCTGGAATATTGTGTCCAATTCTGGGCACCACAATTCAAGAGAGATATTGACAAGCTGGAATGTGTCCAGAGGACGGCGATTAAAATGATCAAGGGTCTGGAGAACAAGCCCTGTGAGGAGCGGCTTAAGGAGCTGGTCATGTTTAGCCTGAAGAAGAGAAGGCTGAGAGAAGACATGATAGCTAAGTATAAATATGTGAGAGGAAGTCATAGGGAGGAGGGAGCTAGCTTGTTTTCTGCTTCCTTGGAGACTAGGACGCGGAACAATGGCTTCAAACTACAAGAAAGGAGATTCCATCTGAACATGAGGAAGAACTTCCTGACTATGAGAGCCGTTCAGCAGTGGAACTCTCTGCCCCGGAGTGTGGTGGAGGCTCCTCCTTTGGAGGTTTTTAAACAGAGGCTGGATGGCCATCTGTCAGGGGTGCTTTGAATGCAATATTCCTGCTTCTTGGCAGGGGGATGGACTGGATGGCCCATGAGGTCTTTTCCAACTCTATGATTCTATGAAATAATAATAGTACGGTAATAATATTTATTTATTTATTTATTTATTTATTTACAGTATTTATATTCCGCCCATCTCACCCCGAAGGGGACTCAGAACACATATACGGCAAACATTCAATGCCGTTATGCATTGAGAAAACAGACAACTGTACATAGATAGAGGTATATATAGGCTTTTCCCCATCATCAGCATCTTGGAGGCTGTGCTCAGGTCCGGTCACAGGGGATGCTGTCACTCCATCCTCCATGCCAAACAGCCTTGTTCGCAAACTTCCTTCTTTCGATCAAATTGTCGGCATTTTTCTGGTATTTCCTTATGGTGCCATTAAAATACCTCCCCGCGTTAACCTATTTATCTACTCACAGCTGTTTTTGATCTGCTAGGTGGGCAGTGAGCTGGACTGAAGGTCAGGCACTCACCCCCAACCCAGGCTTCAAACTGCCAACCTTTTGATTGGCAAGATTTACTGCAGTTGTGCTAAGCCCGGCCCTGCTGTAGTAATAATAATAATAATAATAATAATAATAATAATAATAATTGATGTCGCTATACCAGGTGACAGTCACATTAAGGAAGAACAACAGGAAAAATTCAGCCATTATCAGGACCTCAAAATCAAACTGCAAAGGTTCTGGCATAAACCAGTACAGGTGGTCCCAGTGGTCATCGGCACACTGGGTGCAGTGCCAAAAGATCTCAGCTAGCACTTGCAAAACATAAACATTGACAAAATCACGATCTGTCAACTGCAAAAGGCCACCTTACTTGGATCTGCGCGCATCATACGAAAATATATCACACAGTCATAGACACTTGGGAAGTGTTCGACTTGTGATTTTGTAATACGAAATCCAGCATATAGATCTTGTTTGCTGTGACATACTGTGTTTTTGTGTCAGTAAAATAATAATAATAATAAAAAGTTAAAGCACTCCCATTGTGCCATGACAATTTAATAATAATAATAACAACAACAACAATTAGAGCATCTAATTGTGCCGTGGTAGTTATCATAATAATAATAGTTAGAAGAAGAAACAGCAGCAGCAGATAAAACGCTCCTACTGTGTCATGATGGTTAAATAACAATAATAATAATAATAATAACAACAACAACAACAATTAGAGCATCTCATTGTGCCATGGCAGTTAAATAATAATAATAATAATGGTTAAATATTAATAATAATAATAATATATAATAATAATAATAGCATCTCAGCATCTCATTGTGCCACGGCAGTTCAAGAATAATAATAATAATAATAATAATAATAATAATAATAATAATAATAATAATAATAATGTTAAAGTGCTCTTAAACTGCATTCATTCCATTTTGGAGAAAGCCGGGGCGCAAACGGAGCTGGTTGTCTGTTCTCCTTTTCCCTTCTTTTTGTGGAATCCGCACTCGCCGCATCTGGTCCCAAATTTTGCCCTGTTTGAAAATTTGGATGGTCTTTGATTGATGTATCTTGTAAAGAGAGAGAAAGGTATGGATGTGCCGCATGCGCCATCAGGGCCAGGTCAATGCTGCGTTGTTGTTTTTCCCTCCCGTGCCATCTATGCCTGGGTGCAGGAGAGGTCAGCCGAGGTCACTCTTGTGTGGGAGAATGCTTTCCAGTGGGTCCCATTGCCTTCCTGTCTTCCTTCCTTCCTTTGAGGCTGAGACAGTGTCTCCCAGGAGTCAAACCCACGTCCCAAGGCCTTTCTTTCTTTCCTCGAATTTAAGGCGGTTTGAGAGTGCTTCCTTATATTATATTATGTTATTTATTTATTTATTTTCTCCCCACAAAGGAGGCTCCTTGCATTGATTAGGGTTTGCATGCGTCTGCCTCTCTTTCTCTCTCTGCGGATCCATCCCAGGGATCCTGGCTCTTGTGCATGAGGGAGCCGGTCTTCTTCTCCTCCTCCTTCCCCCTGTTTTTTCGCTCCCTCCATCCCATCTGTCCAGGCAGAGACCCACCCTTCTCCCCCATTAAAACCTTGATCTGGGACCCTTTTCCCTTCTAGGCTGCGGAGCGTGAAGATGGAGCAACGCAAGCTGAGCGACCAGGCCAACACACTGGTGGATCTCTCCAAGGTGAGTGCCCCAGAGGCCATCCAGACCAACCCACCATCCAGTCTCTCCCGACAGATGGCCCTCCAGCCTCTGCCTGGCCCCCATCATCGTCGTCGTCATCAAATATTGCTATTATTATTGTTAATAGTTAATTATTATTATTATTATTGTTATTATTATTATTATAAATAAAAGAGGTCCCCAGAAGCCATCCAGGCCCAACCCACCATCCAATCACACACCCCTTCCCGAGACAAATGGCCATCCAGACTCAGACTGACTCCATCACCATCATCATCATCATGATCAAAGAAGGGTCCTCCGAAGGCCATCCAGCCCAATCCTGTTCTGGAAGGTACCATTCAATCCATTCCATCAGATAGCCATCCAGCCTCTGCTTAATAATAATAATAATAATAATAATAATAATAATAATAGAATCCTAGAATGGGAAGGGACCCCTAAAGGCCATCCAGCCCAACCCTATTCTGTCATCTTGGAAGGCACCATCCAATCCCTCCTGGCAGATGGCCCTCCAGCCTCTTCCTGGCTCCCATCATCATCATCATTATCATCAAATAGGAGCCCCCGGTGGTGCAATGGGTTAAATCCTTGTGCCAGCAGGACTGAAGACCGACAGGTTGGAGGTTCAAATCGGGGAGAGCGCAGATGAGCTCCCTCTGTCAGCTCCAGCTCCCTGTGTGAGGACATGAGAGAAGCCTCCCACAAGGATGATAAAACATCAAAACATCCAGGTGTCCCCTGGGCAACGTCCTTGCAGACGGCCAATTCTCTCACACCAGAAGCGACTTGCAGTTTCTCAAGTTGCTCCTGACACAAAAAAATGAAATATTTCTATTATTATTATTATTAGTAGTAGTAGTAGTAGAAGGGACCCCCAAAGGCTATCCAGTCCAACCCCCGCTTCTCTCCACCTCAACATTACATCCCTGGGATCACATTGGCCTTTTCCGCTGCAGCATCTCACTCTCGACTCAAATTCAGCTTATCATTTACTAAGACTCCCAGGTCCCTTTTGCATGGACTGTTAGGTACGAACCATCCATAGCTTAATCATTTATCATACGAGGGTTGGAACTTTAATAGTGGCAACTATTTATTTTCATATAATACAAAAGTAATACATGCCACAAAGTTTTACAGTCCTTCAATATAGTTGCCAGCATTGTGTACAACCCATTTCCAACAATGTAGAAGTCGTACGACACCTGTTTGCAGCACCTGTTCTGTTTATAGTTCGAATGGAGTGGTCTACTGCCGCAAGAATCTCTGGAACAGTTCTGAATCGAATGCCACAAAGTGGTTCCTTCATCTTCGGAATTAAGTCAAAGTCACAAGGGCTTAAATCTGGGGAGTATGGTGGATGGTACAGCACTTCCCTACCCCATCAATCGAGCAAATCACCCACAGCTTGCGCTGCATGTGGCCAAGCATTGTCATGCAAAATAATAGGGGCGTTTTGCAGAAAGTGTCACTATTTTTTTCTCAAAGCTGGTCTGAGATGGTGTTCCAAAAATGAGCAGTAATACTGCGCATTGATGGTCTGATGTGGGGGAATGGTATGCGTTAGGATGACACCATCACAGTTGTACATGAGAATCACCATAACTTTCACATTGCTGGGGTTCTGACAAAATTTCAAACTTCATGGTGACCTGTCATGATGCCATTTGTTTGATTGGCATTTCAGTTCTGGCTGGTACGATCTGGCCCAAGTCTCATCCAGCGTAATGATACGGCGTAAGAAAGCTTCTCTTTTGTGCTCATAGCTCTCCAAGTAGGTACGAGCAGCATCGTATTGTAGCCATTTATACATTTCCATCAAATAATGTGGAACCCATTGTGAAGCAATCTTTCTCATGCCCAGGCGTTTTGTCAGAATGTGGAGCTCAGTCGTATGCACAAATCCTGTGTTTCGGGCCAGCTCACGAATTGTATGGCATTGATCACTGTCTACGAGTGCGGCAACAGCATTCACTTCCGCTTTGCTGACACTAGGACGACCTGGCCGATGCATGTCTGCCACATTTTGGTGTCCTTCGTTGAAGGCTTTTACCCACCTTGCCACTGTTCTGTAAGGCAATGCAGATTCCCCACAAGCCTCTTGAAGACCTTGATGACACTGTCGTGCTGAGCGACCTCTGGCACATTCCATCTTTATCCAACTCCGTTGTTCTTGTTCTGAAAACATCACGACAACACTTACTTCAGACCACAAGCATACATGTGACGTAGGAAGGGCAAGTCTTTTTGCTCAGAGTTAACATAGTTATGTAACTAACGTGTGGTGTATGCGACATTCTTTGGTTTCGTTGCGTGGCGTCTTTACAGCAGTGTTGCCACTATTAAAGTTCCAACCCTCGTATATTACTTTCCTATGTAATAGAATTGCATTGGCCTTTTTCGCTGTAGCATCACACTCTTGGCTCATGCTCAGCTTAGACTTCTAGTGTCATCCCTCCATCTGCACACTTCAATCCTGGGATCGCATTGGCCCTTTCTGCTGCAGCATCACACTCTTGGCTCATGTTCAGCTTATGAATAATTAAGGTTCATAGATCCCTTTTGCACTGACCCTTAAGTGTCATCCATCCATGCTGCATATCACATCATCAACCCACTTCATCCCTGGGATCGCATTGGCCTTTTCTGCCGCAGCATCACAGTTTTGACTCATGGTCTACTATAACTCCCAGATCCCTTTTGCATAGGCTGTTAGGTGCCACCCATCCATACTGCATATTGCTTCCCTTAATCTGCACGTTTCATCCCTGGGAGCGCACTGACCTTTTCTGCTGCAACATCACAATCCTGGCTCATGTTCAGCTTATGAGTTACTAAAACTCCTAGATCCCTTTTGCATGGACCCTTAAGCATCATCCATCCATACTGCATATTGCTTCATCCCTGGGAGCGCATTGGCCTTTTCTGCTGCTGCCTCATCACAATCCTGGCTGATGTTCAGTTAATGAATTATTATAATCTTTTGCATGAACTCTTAAGTGCCGGCCATTTTTACCCCACATCACTTCTCTCCATCTACACAGTTCATCCCTTTGGCCTTTTCCTGCAGCATCACCCTCTTGGCTCATGCTCAGCTTCGACTCCTAGTATCATCCCTCCATCTGCAGGGTTCATCCCTGGGATGGCCTTGGCCTTTTCTGCCACAGCATCATCCTCTTGTCTCCTGCCGCCCTCCCTGCAGACGCAGAACGTGATGTACGACTTGGTGTCGGAGCTGCAGGAGCGCAACGAGGACCTGGAGAAGCGCATCCACATCCTGGAGGAGAAGATTGACCTGCTGGGCCTGACGCTGCACACCTTGCCGGGACTGGTCAGCCAGGCCTTGCAGCAGCAACGCCAGCAGCAGCAGCATCCCCATCCTCCTCCTCCTTCTTCCCGTAGGAAGTCCCCCTCCACCGCCCCGCACACGTCTTCCGACAGCGGATGAGGACCCCTTTCCGCATCTATCTATCAGTGGCGCTCTCTCTCTCTCTCTCTATGGCCATTGTGTGGCCCTTCCTC